ATTCCATCGGGATGACTTCACCTCTGGCATTGCCACCCCCGAGCAGGGCAGCCCCGGGGCTGGAGGGGGCTCGGGGTGGCAGAGCTGGGCATGGAGCTGGGCAGGGGGTGCCGTGGGGGTGTGGAGTGCCATGAGGTGCCACACGGGTGTCACGGGGGTGCAGAGCAGCGGCCATGGGCTCGTGGTGCTGCCTGTACCCGGCTCGGGAGCTTCTGCGGGGGAACGAGCTTTGATATAAATATCTTTTTGCTCAGCACACGACCTACTTTCCAGACAATGCCATTAGCCTCCCGACTCCCTCATTCATCTTGTGCCGTCCTCCCCCAGCCCGCCCCGCGCTGGCACCCGCGCCAGCACGGCACACGGGCCATGGAGTGGTGAGCCAGGATGGGCACCTGGCTTGGTGGCACCCTGGGGACCCTGTGCTGGCCTTGGGGACAGCCAGCAGCCCCGTTCTCACAGCTGGCAGGGGGCTGTTGCTGCCTGTCCTCTGCCTCTGCTCTGGCTTTGTGGAGGGGGGCTGGGTCCCCTTGGGGGTTTCTCTGCCCCATCCCACAGGATACTCAGATCTGTCTCCCTCTCTGCTGCCTCCAGCCCCATTCCCTGCAAAGTCCATGCCCTGGGTGGCAAATGGCCTCATCGAGGGACATCCTCAGCCAGGCAGAGCCTCTTTGGGTACACCCTGGTCAGGGCAGAGGGGAGCACAGCGAGGCAGCCACGCATTGGCTCAGAGCTGGCCCAGGGGCAGCGTGTGGGGTCAGGGCCCCTCCTGAGCACCCCCAGAGCTGGTGCTGGGCTCACACGCATGGTTCATCCAAGGATGATCCTGCAGGAGCTCCACGTGCTGGCAGAGGCTGTGCCTTGCCATTGGCAGCCGTGAGTGCCTGGTGGGATTAGGGGCAGGTTGGGCAGAGGGTGCCCAGTGCCACTGCCATGACAATGCCCAGCCCCTCTGGCTCGTGGGGATGGCTCTGACACCAGTTTTCCCCCAGAAGCTGGAAACATCTCTCCAGGCCCACCACCTGCACACCTCCGTGCACCCCTGGGATGAGCCCCCGCTCCTCCCCTGCAGCTAAAATTAAATATTCAATTTGTATTGCTGGTAAATCCAGCAAATCTCTTTTATCTCTAAGCTGTTGTAGCAGGAATATCAGTGGTGTAATCTCCATGGGGGCTTGTCCTGCTGCCCTTCACAGCTCTCTGGCTTGGACCGCTCTCCCTTTTCCCCACATTTTTCTCTGGGATGCTTCTGGGTGGTGGAGCAGGTCTCCAGTGCCAACAGCAGAGCTCCCCATGGCACTCATTCTGCAGGTTCTGCTGGCTTTGGGGACAAGGGATGCATGGTCCCCAAATTGTGATGGAGGTGCTCTTGGCTCAGGTGATCCAGGTGGTCCCACCAGAGCATCCCCCATGCCTACTGTGTCCTCACTCACCAGCCGTGCCCCCCCTCCCCGTGCTCTGTCCCCGCGCTAAGAGCATTGTGCAGAATTACGTATTTAAATATTTAGGTTTTCATCAGCTTTGCAAATTAAGCCCATCCATTAAAGCAGCAGTTTGGGTCCTCTCCTGGCAAGCTGGGCTGTGCCATGCCTCGGGCTGGCTGTGCTCATCCCAGCCCTGGCCCCAGGGGATGCAGCCTGGGAATGGGACGTGATGGCCTGGAGCATCCCCGCCGGCACAGGGACCAGGGCTCTGCTTCCTCGCTGTTCCTGGAAACTCCGGCCCCTGCGGGCCCCTGGCAGGGGGAGGTGCCTTGAAGAGAACCGGTTGGGATTGGTGTTATTTGGGGTTGGAGCAGAGAGTGCCTCGTGCCGGGGAAAAGAGGACGAAGAGCAAAGCTGGTGACAGGTGAGAGCCCTGGCAGGCTCAACCAAGCACCTGGCAGGAGCAGAGCAGGGATGGCAGTGCCAGCCTGCTGGGAGCTCAGTGGGAGAGAAGCTGGGGATGGAAGGGGCAGCCTGCCCAGGGGCTTGGAGGAAATGGGCAGGAGATGGGCAGAGCTGTCACTGCTGCCACGCTCAGTGCTAAGGCTGTGCTGCCCCGAGCTCACCAAAGAGGCTTTGGAGTGATCCCTGGCTTAAGCCATTACATGGTGTGGCTGGGGAGTAAGTGGCTCCTTAAGCCTCGGCAGTGTGGCCTGGCTGGTGGCTCCATATGGGTGGAGGGAAAGATGGGGGAGATGGGGAATGGGGTTCACCCAGCACCGCTGCCAGCTGGAGCTCCTGGCACAGCCACAGGGTCTGAGGGGGCTGCCATGGCCTCCAGTGCCTCTGGCACAGGCAGATTTAACTCCTGGGAGCTGCTGGAGCCCACTGCCCACCTGGGGCGCTGCTGGATCCCACTGCCCACCTGGGGCACCGCTGGTGGCTGGAGTGCCCATGGGAGTGTGGGCACAGCCCCCAGGGCGAGCACAGCACAGGGCTTGTCCCTGCTTGTCCCTTCCCTTCACTGCAGGTGAACAGCAGGCTGTGGTCTCTCCTCGGTGTCACCTGCATGTCCCCCTCTCCCAGCAAGCCCTGGAGGAGGAGTGTGCTGGCTGCTGCTGGCCCCAGGCAGAGCAGGCAGATGTTGAGTGTGTCCATGGCAGGGGAGCTGTCCGTGGGCATCGCCGCTGATGGGCGCTCATGTGTGTGCCTCAGTGCCCACAACCCCTGTGCTGGCGTGGGCTGGGGTCCCTGGAGCTCTGCGTGGCCTGGGGGTCCCTCCACGGGGGTCTCCCAACTCAGCTGGCTGCACTCCTGATGCTCTGGGTGTGGGATACCACCTCTGGCTGTCGATGCCCCGAGTGCCATGTCCTGGCTCCTGCGGGCAGGAGGAACATTGCTGCGAGGCCGAGGGGCTGGAGGTGCCTGCGCCATGGGGCTGCTGGCTTCTCACCCCTGCCAGCCCATGGCCCATTCCCTGTGCCACCTCTTCCCTTCTCAGCCAGCTTCCTGAGATCCCAGGTGTTCCCCATCTTAAAGGGCTTTTGAAGATGTGGTTTGGGCTTTACAGGGATAGAATGCCAGACTCCTTTCCCCGCTGGCTTTGCCTTGGCAGCTCCAGGATGCTCCAGCTCCTTTGCACACCCAGCGCAGCTCTTGCCTCCAGAGAATCAGGTCTGGGGCCAGGGTGGGTGGTTCTGGGCTGTGTGTGCTGTGCAGGGAGGGGGCTCCTGTTCCCCTGTGGTGGCAGCAGCCTGAGTCAGTGGTGTTGTGGCGGGAAGTCCCAGCGCTGGCGGCCGTGCCGGGATCCCTGGCAGCTGGGCGCGTCGTCGTGGCCGTATTTCCTCGCTCTGCTCCAGGAGTAATTGCTCAGATGGGGATGTGGGGCAACTCCCATCCCTCTCCCGGCATGGTAATGAGTGAAGAAGACTCAAAGACAAATGGCTCATTAAGAAGCAGTGCTGCATTGCAGGATTTTTCATCCCACCAACCGCTGCATCAGCAGAGGCAGCACCTCTCGCGCTCGCTCTCCCAGCCCTGGAGAAGGAGCTGTCAGGCAGCTGGGGCTGGTGCCAAAATTAATCATGTGCTTAATAACGTGCCCAGCCCGTTGAACGGCCTGTCCTCAGCCTCTGGGCTGTGGAGAGGGGTGGCTGTGCTGGACTGGAGCCCTGGGGCACCAGGGATTTGGGGTTGGTGCCTGGGAAGCACCCATGCTCGAGGAGAAGGGATGTATCAGGGCAGTGCTGAGCCAAGGGAGATGCCCCCAGCTTCGGGGTGCCAGAGCCTCTCAGTTATGTTGGGGTGTCAGGGTCCCCCAGATATTTTGGGGTGCTAGAGCCCCCCAGCCCTGTTGAGGTCCCAGCCAGCTGTGCTGGCTTTTGTGGCCTTCCCAGTGGCCTCAGTAAACACTTCCTGCTCCACTCATATTTGCAAATCCTCAGCTTGTGATCATCTTTCATGACTTTTAAAAAATCTTGCCTCATCCCTTTTTTCCAGCGGTGCCCGGTTGGATCCTGCCCCTCACAGCCCTCTGCAGGCAGTGCCTGCCTGCAGCTGCTCTGCTTTCTTTTATTAACAGTAATTGGTTTTGATTTCCTGATTGCAGGCAGTGTATTTTCTGTGATCTTTGCATCCTGCTCACACTGTTTTTCTCTTTCACTTCTCCTCTTTACCCTTTCCTTTTTCCCCATCCCCCTTTTCTCTTTCCTTTTCCTCTTTTTTCTCCTTTCCTTTCCTATTCCCTTTCCCTTTCTTCACCTTTCCCCTTTCCCTTTCCCCTTCCTCTGCTTAATTAGGTGATCTCTTACTAAGCCCCTCTTTTTTTCCTCCAAACTGAGTGAATTTTACTAATTCAGCCTCATAAAATAACAGAGCAATTAGTAATAAAATAAAATGTTTGCTTTCCACAATCCTTCTCGCTTACAATGAGCGGGGAAAGAGTAAATAGATTAAAAGCACGGTGGAAACGACCTGGCGGTATTCCATATTTATTTTCTTCCGGCGACCGTAGATCAAATTTGTTCAGCCCCTAAGTGGGAAAACCACTTTATTTTATTTTTTTCCCCGGCTCCAGCTCGCGCGCGGTGCCGGGCGCTCACGCTGCGTGTTTGTTCTCTCCCGCTTTCATCCCAAGCCATAAAGGTCCCCAGCAGGACCCAAGCTGGCAGAACCTCGCATTAATTTGCAGAGCAGAACGGGCCGAGCTCGCACCTCTCCCGGGCTGGAAGGTGGAAAAAAAAGTCCCTTTGGTGATGCTGGAAAGGCGGGGTGGCGGGAGGAGGCTTTGTGGAGCGAGCGGCCGGAGCCGGAGCAAATGAAAGTCGATGGCGAGGTGGCCGCTGGGCTGGCTCTGGCACCCGCTGGCAGGGAATTGCATAACAGGATGGGACTGGGGATGGTTTTGGGGCTAAACTGGCTGAAACACGTGGCCGTGGCCGTGCGGAGCTGTCCCTGTTGCTGAGCTGGTGTGGGGTGACCTCAGGGGAGGATGGAAGGCTGGGATGATAAAAAATACTCAGGCTGGTTTTGGGAACACCCTTGCTCTGGCTTCATCCCCCTCCTGTTCCTCCCCCAGAACCTGCTGCCCCAGGGATTCCCAGCGTGGAGGAGCTGCTGCTGGCGAGGCCATGAGGACAGCATCCCCCTGAGCGCCGGGCGGTGAGTGCCACCAACAGCCCCCACTGGGACCCCAGCGTGGGCTGCCCGTGGTGGGGCTGCTGGGGAAGGGCAGGGGGCCAGGACCCCCTGAGTGCAGGGCCATCAACCCCAGCTCTTGGGATAGACCTGGAAGTGGTGGAAAACCCAGCCTTGCCCTGTGTCAGGGTGCCCTGTGTCTGCCAGACCCAGACATTGTGGTGGGGTTTTGATGTCCTCTCACATCTCTGCTGGTGTTCCTGGAGGAAAGATGGGAGGATCCTGGTGCTGTGGGGTCCCAGGGAAGCTCAGGCTCCTGGAGGGTCTGCCCTGAATCCCTGCAGCCCTGGGCCTCAGCACGGTGCTGCCTCCAAGGCAGGGATCTCATGGGGCAGCTGCTGGGAAGTGGAACTGCCTCTGCCAAGTGCTCCCATGGGAAATTAAGCAGGAGGCTGAATTTCAGGATGGCCTGGAGCACCAGGGACTACCAGCCCCTCTCCTCCCTGTGCTGACCCTCGCAATGGGGAGAGACATTAGAGGGAGGTGGTGATGGGGAGCCACTGGTGGGAGTTTCTCCAGGCGCTGGATGCAATAAAGGCGAGGAGTGAGTTATTTGTAATGGTAATTATGCTCTTCCAGTTTATCCTAGCACATAATTGTGTGGGCGGTAGGTTCCCACTGGTGGTAATTACCCTGGTGTTAAATGGCACAAAATTCAGCTGGGCTGGGTTTTTCCCCCTTGACTTAAATCTGTGCTTTGGTGGCACAAATCCCTCCATCCCACGGGCTGCTCAGTGGATTGGCCTTTGGAGGGACACAGCTCCAGCTCTCGGCCACCTGCCCATGAGCCACGCTCAGGCCAGCTGCCCCAATCCCACTGCCAGCCTCCCCACACTGCCCTCCTGGGACAGGGGAGAGGAGTGGGCTCTCATCCTCTGCACGTGGCCATTCCTGCTGCCACACGCGATGGGGACCCTGCGCTGCCCGTGCTGAGCCCCACAGGGTCTCTCCCAGCCCTTTCTCCATCCCGAGGTTGCCCTCAGGGAGCTTGGCTGCTCTTTGGGCAGGGTGTAGATTCCATTGTCGCCTTGGTGAGCTGGGACGTGGATCCTCCGCCGCGGCACGTCCCCACCCGCTGCCGGCGCTCCGCAGGTGCGGGGGAGCTGCGGCGCTGCCTCGCCTGCGGTTCCGGCTTTGTTGAATTCCTGCACCTGCCGAGCACAAAAGCCCGGCGGGCTCGTGCTGACAGGCTCCGCAGATATTTTGACTCCTTCTTGCCGCCGCGGCAGCAATATTTGGATCAGCTGAGAGCTTCCCTCCCCGAGCAGGAGATGATAGCTCAGCCCGCGGAGGCAGAGCTGGGCTGGGAGCCTGTTTGTCTGTCTGTCCTTCCATCCTGCTGCTCGATCCCAGGCCAGGGACTCAGCTCCATCCCACTCTGCTGCCCCTGCTCCTCGCAGCAGCTGTCTCGGGAGGGGAGAGGCATCATCTGTACCAGCTGCATCTCTTCCGTTCAGCAATTAGGGAGCCTTGTTAGAGCAGGAGCAGGATCTGAGGATGGGGAGCGGTGCAGGATGGAGCCATCCAGCCTCAAAAAAGCTGGGAAAGAAGGTGGTGGCGGCTTAGGGCAGATGTGCTCCCCGGGCCCTGTCTGCTGCTCAGGGCCAAAACACCATTGGTGCCCACCCCCACACCCCTTGGGACCCCCAGTCGCTCTCTCCTCCAGCGCTGCTTGGGGACACAACCCCCTCCCACCAGCCCTGGCCCTCCCAATGCCCCTCGTTTCGTCTCCATGGTCAAATCCCCACGTGCCACAGGGAGAGTCCCACGGTCACCTTTCCCTGCAGCCAGTCTGGGAGACATGCTGCCCGCAGCACCCTGCCCAAATATGACAGCAAGAGCGTTAACGATGCCTGCTAATTAGCCGAGATACTCTGGAGAATAAGTAATTTCCTCATTTACAGTCCAGCCAAAGACAGAGCCTTTGAGGGACTGCAAGGCACACAAACCTCCATGGGTGCAGGCGGCTCAGCCTTGGCTGGTGCAGGCTCAGCCTGGCTCAATGCCGTCCGTCCTCCTTTTGCCCTGGGGCTGCCCTCTCACAGCACAGCCACCTCTGCTCCTGGCTCCTCATCCAGAGGGCTTGCAGGGCAGGAGAGCCCTGGATCGTGGGTATCCATGTGGGGCTGGATGGAGACATCAGAGCGCGGCCCCCCCGCGCCCCGCGGCAGCTCATTAGTGGCGCTGTGAATCGCAACGGCTGAAAAACTCAGCCAGAGCCGCTTTCTAATGGAGAAACACTTCATAATATTTGGTGCTGGAGAAGAAAACAAGGATCTGCTGATGGCAGCGTGTCCTCCCTCGCCGTCTGCAGGCCCTGCTGCCTGCAAGGCATGGCAGCACCTTCTCCTTCCCATTGCCCCCTCTGAGCACCTGGGCTGGGGGTAACCCCAGGTGCCTGGCATGGGCACTGTGCTCCTGTCACCACACGGAAAGCCAGGATGCTGGCACTCCACAGGGCTGAATCTTGCCCTGGAATCTTCCCAGCCTTCTCAGCTGGTTCCTGTGAGGTAGCCCGCAATGTTCTGCTGGTTGTGAGGGTGCAGAGGGGATCCTGACACTCTTCTTGTCTCTGTCCCCACAGATGAGCCCGCAGGGGCATCCCGGCAAGATGCCGAGGCTATGGGGTGGGTGCTGAAATGATGAAGGGCTACCATGGGGAGCGTAGCCAGACACAGCCCTCCTCCGGCCACCGCTGCCGCTGCATCCCTGAGAACTGCGAGCATCCCGCCGACTACATCCCGCACGGCCCCGAGGGCCGGCCGCCATACCTGCTCAGCCCCAGCGAGCCGTGTTCCCTGGAGCATCCCTACTGCCCGGCGCGGAGCCCCGGCGCGGGCAGCGAGTGCCCGGGCGGGCCCCTGAGCGAGCCGCCCTCCGCCAGCGCCAGCAGCACCTTCCCGAGGATGCATCACGCGCAGCAGCCCTACGACTCCTGCGACGAATGCATGGCGACCGCCCACCCTGCCAGCAAGATCAACCGCCTGCCCCCCACGCTGCTGGACCAGTTCGAGAAGCAGCTGCCGCTGCACCACGACGGCTTCCACACGCTGCAGTACCCCCGGGCCGGCGGCGCCGAGCCCCGCAGCGAGAGCCCCAGCCGCATCCGCCACCTCGTCCACTCCGTCCAGAAGCTCTTCGCCAAGTCCCACTCCCTGGAGGCGCCGGCCAAGCGGGACTACAACGGCGCCAAGATGGACGGCCGCGGGGACGGCTACCACCACCACCACCACCACCACCATCACCACCACCACCACCAGTCCCGCCACGGCAAGCGCAGCAAGAGCAAGGACCGTAAGGTGGACTCCCGGCACCGGTCCAAGATGTTGGGCTGGTGGAGCTCCGATGACAACCTGGACAGCGACAGCAGCTACATGGTGTCCGGCCGGCACGCAGCCGACCAGGGCACCCAGTACTGCGTGGACGCTCCCGAAAGTGCCTTCAGAGACTTGACCTTGAAGAGTCTAAAGGGCGGCGGGGAAGGAAAATGCCTGGCCTGTGCCGGCATGTCCATGTCTCTGGACGGCCAGACGCTCAAGAGGAGCGCCTGGCACACCATGACCGTCAGCCAGGCCCGTGAAGCCTATCCCAGTGCCGGCGGCACCGAGAAGACCTTGATGCTTCAGGAAGCAAAGGCCAAAGACAGAGCGTACCAGTACCTGCAGGTGAGCTGCTGGGCAGGGTGAGGGGACTGGGGGTGACTGTGCTGTGGGGTGAGCCAGGGCTGGGACCCTCCATCCAGCAGCCTGGGGTGCTGTGGAGATGCTCCAGCTCTGCTCTGTGTCCCCAGAGCCTGTGCCCCATTCCCAGGGTCCTGTGCTGGTCCCCGATGTCCCCTTGAAGTCCATCTGCTGCCTCCTTCCCTGTGCTGCATTTGGGGTCAGACCAGCTCTGTCAGCTCAGGGCCACCAGCAGCTCTGTGCCTGCTCCCTTCTCACTGCTTTTATCCTGCCTGTGTGCCTGGCTGGGTGCCACTGCCTGCCTCATCACCAGGCTCCCTTCTAGGTCACCCCCCTTCCAATTAAAAGCTAATTAACTCTTCTCTCCCTTTCCTGGGGGAAGGAGACAGGGAGCAGCAATGCTGTGCTGGCCAGGGGTGGGGGTGGCCGGGGCCTGGCTCTGCTGGCAGCAGGGACACTGGGGCAGGGTGCTGGTCCCATCGCCCTGGCTGGGGGCCCCAGGGGACACCATTCCCCTGCCACTGCCCTATAAGGACCCGTGGTGCTGGCGTCAGCAGCACGTGGTGGAACTGGTACCCGATACGTCAGGCGGGTGCGGCGCTGGCATGGGTGGGATTTGGCCCAGACGCTCCTGCCAGAGGGGCCGTGAGGTGGGAGCTGCTGCGCCGCCCCGCGTTGTGGGAATGGGGAGCTGCGGCTGTTAGGAGGGATCTGCTCTCCGGGATTTTGGGGCTTTCCAAAAGGGTCAGAGGCCCCAGGGTTTGTCCCTGTTGCTCTGGGGGGCAGGGGAGCTGGGCACGTGTGCTGGATTTGGGCTGGATTTGGGCTGGCACATGGCTTGGCTCGGCATCCCACCTGTGGGACCCCGGCCACCACATCCTCCCACGCTTGCCTCCTGCTGCAGGTGCCGCAGGACGAGTGGAGCGGGTACCCGGCGGGCAAGGACGGGGAGATCCCGTGCCGGCGGATGCGCAGTGGCAGCTACATCAAGGCCATGGGTGACGAGGACAGCGCCGACTCGGACATCAGCGCCAAAGTGTTGCCCAGGGCGGCCACGCGGCGAGACAGCTACCGCCGCTCCTCCAGCGCCGACCAGGCCAGGACCAAGTAAGGGCTGCTGCCTCCCAGCCCCGTCCCAGCTCTGCAGGCAGCAGTGGGGCCATGGGCTCCCTACGAGGACAAGTGGCATTTCCCTGCTCAGGGCATTGTCCCCACTCACAGCACTGTCCCTGCTCACAGCACTGTCCCAGCTCACAGCCGCAGTCCCCAGCGCAGCAGCACCCAGCCCTGTCCCTTCTCTGTGTCAGGGCACTGGGGGGGACACGGCTATGCTGGGCTTTTGGGGGGGACCTGCTGCTGCAGCCACATGCAGACCCTGGGGAGAAGAGGCATGTTCAAAGGGGGATGAGACGTGCCCCAGTCCCAGTAGGTGACAGTTTTGGGGGCAGTGAGGAGTGGGGACAGCAGCGGTGGCCAGCGGGAGGATCGCTGCGGCTGCATTTCCCAATGCTCTGCTGGAATGTGTTGCTTTTGGTGCGATCCCTTCTATTCCCACTGTCTCTCATTAGGTTTGCAAGTAGGCACTATTCTGATTCATATATCTGTAACTGTCCCAGCTGCTGCACGCCACCGCGAATGCTCCCGCTGGGACAGAGCTACGGGCGCTCCTTCACCACCGGCCAGGTACGTTCTGTGCCTCAGGTTCCACAGGGCAGGCTGGGGCAGGGGTGTGGTGGATGTCGCTCTGAGCATCCCTTGCCCGGGCTCAGCCTCACCCACCGCTCTCCCCAGATCAACGACGAGCTCAACCACCAGTTTGAGGCCGTCTGCGAGTCGGTTTTCGGCGAGGTGGAGTCGCAGGCCGTGGAGGCGCTGGACCTGCCCGGCTGCTTCCGCATGCGGAGCCACAGCTACCTGCGGGCCATCCAGGCGGGCTGCTCCCAGGACGACGACTGTCTCTCGCTCTTCTCCATGTCGGCCCCTCCTGGGCCTCCCATCACCAGCAGCATCCTGAAGCCCAGCACTTGTGAGTCCTGGAGGGTGGCGAGGGCTTGGCCGCGTGAGGGAACCCCACATCCCCCTGCCTGCTCACCTGGGCACTTGCCAAGGGCTGCTGCTGCCCTCCTCCTGGCCCTCAGCCCCTATAGTGCCCAGGACAGGGTGTGAGCATCCTGCTCGTCACCCAGTCCCAGTCAGGGGGCTGCTCTGTGTCCCCAGCACCCATTTGCCATCCCCTTCTTCTCTCCACTTCTGTCCCCATCTCTGCCCCTTGCTGGGTGCTGCAGCAATGTGGCCAGTGTGGGTCTGGGGTGTTTTCCAGTCCCAAAAACTGATCAAACAGCCCTGCTGAGCTCCGGCCATATTTAACCCAGCTTAAGGGCAAACCCTGTGGGGTCATGATCCCTGTGCTGTGGGAGGAGATGGGCAGCATTCCCCGGGGCCCCTGTTCGTGGCGGGAAATGAGCAAGTGTCTGTGTTTTCACGTGCCTTTTCATCCTGCGCCTCTCCCACAACAGCCTTCAGTTACAGAAAAGCTCCACCTCCCATCCCTCCAGGAACCAAAGCCAAACCTCTCATCTCCGTCACGGCGCAGAGCAGCACCGAGTCCACCCACGAGAGCTACCTGCCCAGTGAGGTCGCCCGCAGCCCCGCCTGGTCCAAAGATGCCGCGGCCCGCTGCAACTCGGCCGAGAGCCTGGAGAGCTCCAAGGTGACGGCCGTAGCCCTCGACCTGCCCCCAGTCCAGCCCCGTGCTGCTCCCAAGCCCTCCACGCTCATCATCAAGGCCATCCCAGGCCGGGAGGAGCTGCGGAGCTTGGCTCGGCAGCGGAAGTGGCGTCCCTCCATCGGCGTGCAGGTGGGCTCCGCTCCTCCCTGCGGGCTGCCCCAGTGGTGGGGGCCGTGCTGAGCCACCACGCTGCGGTTTGGGGCTGCCCTCCAGCGCTCTCTCTCTGCCCCTCGGCAGGTTGAGGCCGTCTCTGACTCGGATACGGAGAGCCGGAGCCAGAGGGAGTTCCACTCCATCGGGGTGCAGGTGGAGGAGGACAAAAGGTACCACATGGATGGCTGGGCTGAGACCTGCCACACTCGCTGCACTGGGGCGTTGGGTTCCCAGGGGCTTCCTGAGCTCCACACACCACGGCTACCTCACAGCAGCTTTTCCCTCTCCCCTCTGGCTGAAAGCCCAGAGCTCAGCACCTTCCCCATCCCAGGCTAGCTGTCCCCACCTGGGGCAGGATCTGCCTTTTCCTTTGTCCTCCCTGCTGCCCAGGGAAGGGGCTGCTCTATTCCTTCCCTGTGCTGGGTCTCCTCTGCTGGGCTCAGCCCTTAGCTTTGAGCCCACGCCAGGTGCAGATGAACCTTTGGGCATTTCTGTAGCTAACCATGACATTTTGGCTGGGATGGGAATGCCAGGTGTGCCAGAACCTGCATGCCCTGCGGGAGGGGAGCTCCGGCATTGTGCCCATGCTCCTCTCCATCCCCGGTCCAGCGCTGGTAGCCATGGAAACAGGCTGAGAGCAGAGGAGACGAGGGACCGGCAGATCGCAGCTGCTCAGGGTTGCGCCTGTGGCCCTGAATGCTCCGGGATCCACCCCGGCATTCCCAGCCCCATCCTACCTGTGGGTGTCCCTCACCCTGCCCCTGCCACTGACGGGGGGATGGGACAATCCCTGCTGCACACAAGGGTCCCCACGCTCTCCCTGTGTCCGCAGGCGAGCGCGCTTCAAGCGCTCCAACAGCGTGACAGCGGGCGTGCAGGCAGACCTGGAGCTCGAGGGCTTCACCGGCCTGGCCGTGGCCACCGAGGACAAAGCCCTGCAGTTCGGGCGGCCCTTCCAGCGGCACTCCTCGGAGCCCGAGTCGGGCCGGCAGTACGCCGTGTACAAGACGGTGCACACGCAGGGGCAGTGGGCGTACCGCGAGGATTACCAGCTGCAGTACGACACGGTGGAGGTGCCCCGGCGGGACGCCTGGATAGAGCGGGGCTCCCGCAGCCTCCCCGACTCCGGCCGCGCCTCCCCGTGCCACCGCGACGGGGAGTGGTTCATCAAACTGCTGCAGGCAGAGGTGGAGAAGATGGAGGGCTGGTGCCAGCAGATGGAGAGGGAGGCGGAGGACTATGACCTGCCCGAGGAGAGTGAGTTGGGTGGGGTGTCGCAGCAAAGAGAGGGGTGGGGATCCTGCAGAGCTGGGGGGGCACCGTCGTTGTCCTGCAGTGCTCCCGCCTTGGAGCGTCTTTGCTGCCAAGGCTAAAGAGGTTGGGTGAGGGCAAGAAACACAGGGAAACCCTCTGGGGCTGTGAAGGGGAGGAGAGACATGATGTGTTGGAGGGCAATGAGCTGCCTGTGACTGTCTGCTTTCCCCCCCAGTCCTGGAGAAGATCCGGAGTGCGGTGGGCAGTGCCCAGCTCCTCATGTCCCAGAAGGTGCAGCAGTTCTACCGCCTCTGCCAGCAGAACATGGTGAGTGTGAGTGTGGGCAGGGTGCCAGGGGTCAGCTGTGGTGGGGAGGGGGTGTCTCATACTCTCAGCCAGTGACTATGGACCACCATGGAGGAGAGCTAGACACAGAGCCCCCAGCACAGGGGGCTAGGATGGCCCCATGGCCAGCATAGCCAACATCCCACTGAGGGATGAGGATGGCACTCTGTCCCTCTGTCCCCACAGGATCCCAACGCATTCCCTGTGCCCACCTTCCAAGACCTGGCTGGCTTCTGGGACCTCCTGCAGCTCTCCATTGAGGACGTCAGCATGAAGTTTGGGGAGCTCCAGCAGCTCAAGGCCAATGGGTGGAAGATCATGGAGCCCAAGGTAAGGGCAGGGCTCTGCCACTGGCACTTTTACCTGTCACCTCTTCCTCCCTCCTCATCCCCAAGCACATCTGCACCCAAACCACTGCTGGGCTCTCACTGGTGACTGCTTTTAGCAAACCCTTAAAAACAGAGCTGTGAAAAAGTTAGGCTAGAGAAGGGCTGCTCTCCCGCTGATGTATCCCAGCAAAGGGCCAGGCAGGGTCCTGGCACGGCATGGATAAAGGGATGTGCAGCCCCGCCTCGCAACCTGTGGGAGGGTCTGCGGAACCCCTCACCGCGGCTTGAGCCTGCTGGGATGCCCATTCCTGGGAAGTCCCAGCCTGAATCCCCTGTTTTCTGTGCAGGAGGAGAAGAAGGTGCCTCCCCCGATACCAAAGAAGCCGCCGCGCTCCAAGGTGCACCCGGTGAAGGAGCGCTCCCTGGACTCGGTGGACCGGCAGCGGCAGGAGGCCCGCAAGCGGCTCCTGGCAGCCAAGCGAGCCGCCTCCTTCCGCCAGAGCTCGGCCACCGAGAGCGCGGACAGCATCGAGATCTACATCCCCGAGGCGCAGACCCGGCTGTGACCGCAGCCTCCGCTTTTCTACCCGGACTGGACGGCGCGGCCGTAGCTCACTGTGATGGGGGGCCGCGGGGACACCCTGGGGCAGCTCTTGGCCCCACTCACAGCTTCTCTCTTTTCTATCTTAGCCCTTTCGTGGATCCGACGGCGGGTGAACGCAAAGCCCGGTTCTGTCCCATCCCCTTGCCCCGCTGCCCGCATGCCCCTGCCAGCCTCTCCTGGGGTCCGGGGCTCTCCCTCCCTCTGCCCTCCCTGGGGCTGTGTCCCAGCTTTCTGTCCCCTTCCCGCTCCCCAGCCCTTCTGCACACCCGCCCCTGCATCCCAACCCAAAGAGAGGTGACCTTCAGCACCTGGCCCCGCCGGGCTGGAGGGGAGGGGGCTGCAGGCAGGCCCCCCCGCCTCTCTGTACTCAGTGCAATCCCCTGGTGTGTGGCGGGGACGGGCCCCCAGCCCCTGCCCAGCCGCAGCCCCCCAGCCCTGCCCTGCCGGCACGAGGCTTTGGGACGTGCTGGGGACAAAGGGGTCCCCTCACTGCTCCCCCCGACTGCGGCTCAGGTGCCATGGGGACCCAGGGCTCCCTCCCCTATATACATATATAAATATAACCCAAGGAATAAACCAGAAACTACACGTGACCAGCGCTGTGTCCTGCCTGGTGGGACGGGCCAGAACAGTAGAGGCCCACGGTCACGGCGAGCCGCCCCGCTTCCCTCGCACGGAGCATCGCCACGCGCTTCTCCCCTTCCCGCTCAGCCCTCCTTCCCCTCAGTCCATCCCTCATCTGTCCGTCCTTCCCTCCTGCCAGCCTGGAGTCCAGGAGCACCTCTGCAATGTGGCACTAGCCAGGGACAGGCAATAGTCCGCCCGTGCCGTGCTGCAGGTGGGAGATGCTCCCCCAGTGAGCCCATCTGCAGTGACAAGGACCACACTGGGCTTGGCACCAGTGGGTGGGACCAGAGTGTGGACATGGCCAGCAGCTGTCCCTTGAGTGTGGAGCTAGAGACCCCCTCAGGGGGACACCCCTTCCCCCTGAGCTCCCGGAGCCCGGCGGGATGGGACACCCCAGGATAGGGCTGTCACGTACCTGATGCTTCTCAGGGCCAAGGGACACCCTGGGATGTGGCTGTCCCCAGCTCCCCCATCACTGTGCACAGAGCCAGGAACAGGGTGGAGAGCTCCCACCAGGGCAGAGCAGTGTGGTGGGGCAGGAGGCTGCATCTGCCTCATCCCTGTCCTCAACCCCTTCCCACAAACATCCTGTCCCCCTCAGTGTCCCTTTTGATGGCAGAGGGGGAAGGACCCACGCCCGTCCCTCACTCTGCCGTGCCAGCAGCCCCATGCAGCATCACCAGCCACCCCCCAGGGCAGGGCCAGTGGGTGCCAGGTAGCTCCCAAAATCTGGGGCCAAACCTCGCCCAGGCCCTCAGGCAGGGCGGTGGGATCAGAGGCAGCTGGGGGACGCCTCGCTGGGGGTCCCTCGCTCCTGGGGGTCCGTCGGTGCTAAACACCTCCGTGACGGCAGCACCCACTCAGCCACGCAAAGCCCTCCCCCACCCCACTCCCCCTGCACCCCGAATTTAGGGATGTGCCTGGGAAGGGCCCCCGGCCCCCGCCCCGGCCAGCGCCGTGCAGTGACCGTGACACGTGGCTCCCTTTTTATTGTAACGAACCGCCGCAATTAATAAAGATGACTTTGGTTACTCCGGGCCAGCGGCCACTTCCCTGCGGGGACATGGCCGGCACCGGGCTCGCCTTTCACCTGTCTCCCATCCTTTTGTGTCCGTGGGGTGGGAAATGCATGTCTGTGGCGTGGGAAATTGGTGACCGTGGCGTGGGAGAAGGGTTTTTGCAGGTCTCCTCGTGGATGTCCCCATGGAAACCTCCCATGGGTCTCTTCCAGCGGGGTCTCTGCCTCCGAGTCCCTCCCCATGGATCCCCTCCTGCGGGTGTCTCTCTGTGGATGTCTCCCCGTGCCTCCCCTGTGACTCCCCACGTGAATCTCGCCTGTGACACCCCCGTGGGTGTCTCTCTGTGACACTCCTCGTGACTCCTGCATGACGTCTCCCCGTGGCCAAGACACCCTCTGTGATTTCTGTGTGTCTCCCCCTCTGAATCGTCCCTGGGTCTCCCCTGGGTCTCCTCCCTGTGTGTCTCCCGATAGGTGACACGCCGTGACTCTCCCCGTGGCTCCCCCTGTGACACCCCTTGCCCCCTGCATGACTCCCTCCATGTTCCCCCCTGTCCCCCGTGTCCCCCGTGTCCCCTCGGTGTCCCCTCGGTGTCCCCCCCGTGTCCCCAGCCGCTGTCGCTCCTCCAGCGCTGCGGTTCCCTCTCTGTCCGCCAGGGGGCAGCCCCGCCCCGCCGCCCCCTCACGGCCGTGACCGGAACGGGCGGGGCCGGGCCCTGGTGAGCGGGGCCGGGGCCGGGGCTGGGCCCGGGTGAGCGGGGCCGGGCTGGGGTCCCTGCGGACCCGGGCGGGGGTCCGTGCGCGGCCCACGCGGGTCCCCATTCCCTGCGGCCATTGCTGAAGCCCCGGTGCGGGCGGGCCCGGCCGGTAACCGCCCGTTCCGGTCCGCAGGCATGTGGTCCGTGCTGTGGGCGGCCGTGCGCTCCAAGGCCCCGTACGTCACCTTCCCGGTGGCCTTCGTGGTGGGGCTGGTGGGCTCCCAGCTGGAGTGGTTCCTGCGCGGAGACCCCCCGCCCACGGCCCAGGAGGAGAAGAGCATCTCGGAGCAGCGGGAGGACCGCAAGCTGCAGGAGATCGTGGGCGAGGACCTGACCAAGGTGGTGAGCCTGAAGGACAAGCTGGAGTTCGCCCCTCGGGCCGTGCTCAACAGGAACCGGCCCGAAAAGACTTAATAAAGAGTGATTTGGGCAAAGGCGGTGCCCTGGAGCTGGGGACTCCCCTGACACCTGCACTGCTTCCACCAGCCTCCCTCCTGCACTTGCTGCTCCTCACCGGAGGGTCAGGTTTGCCACCCCATGGATTTGCTCAAGGTACCCAGAGCTCGGTGGCAGAGCGGGCAGGGAGCTGTGTGTGGAGATGGAGAGAGTCTGAAACTCCTCAGCTCTCACCAGGCCTGGCTCCTGCACCACAAAACACTCTCGGCCTGATTCCATCTGTGTCTCCTCAGGTTTGATTTCTTCCATGATGTGAAGGTAGAAGTTTGGACCTGAGTGCTATGGGATGGGGTCAGGCTGACCGCCAGTGACAGGAAGAACTGCTGCCCTGCTTCCAGATCCCCTGTGGCTCTTGATGAACCCCAGTACAGCCCCACGCCACAATGTACTACAGCAGCCATGGAGCTCTCTGGGGACCCCCTCCCTGCATCATCCCACCCAGGAACGGTGACAGGGGGAGGTGAAAGTCTTGGTCCTGCTCCATTGTGGTGCTCTGAGTGTGGTGACGTGTTGGGAATGGGGACATCTCTGCCCTCTGCACAATAAACTTCTGTCAGTTCTCGGGCCTGTGTGTCTCCTGCGTCAGCACAGCCCTGTCTCAGGGCATGTCTCTGCTCCCTCCGTGTTCAAGAAGCAACTGCTGCAGTGGCACGAATGCCGTTGCTGTCCCTGGCCGGGCACTGTCCTCCAGGCCTGGCAGCAGGGTGGTGGACAGGAAGGAGGAGGAGGCACCAAATTCCCAGCCTGTGCTCTGGCTGTGCCTCCCTCCCAGCTCCCCCAGCTGCGTCATCTGCTTCCGTTTGACCTCTTTATCTCGAGGAGAAGGGCTGTGACAACACAGGGTGGTGTCCCAGGGGACGGGGGTCCCACTGGGGTGCTGAGCAAGGAGAGGCTGGCAGCAGGCCCTGGGGACCAGTGGCCGGTGTCCCCTCCAGGCTCAGGCATTGCTGGCACAGCAGGGACGAATCCCAGCCAGAGCTGCCTGAGCAGGGCCAGGGCCGGGGTTATCGCTGCCTCCTGGCTTGTTTTTTCCCGTGGTGCCTGAGCAAGGCCCCGGCTCTGTCCCGGCCCGGCCTTCCCCTCCCGGGGACGATAAATCTGCCTAAATCTGCCGTGCCGGTGTGAGCGCCGAGGTCAGCAGGCAGTCAGCAATCACATCGCGCTGTGCTGTGCCCCAGGGCCATTCCTGCCCTGCTGACAGCTTTACTGCGCTGCTCCCGGCTCTGTTTGCTGCCCGAGCTGCTGTCCTGGGCTGGACTGCTGCCCTCAGCTGGGCTCATGGCCCAGCATCACCGGGAACACTCTGACCTTTGCTGCGAAGGCAGCTGAGCCTCGGGAGAAGGTGCAGGAGGAGCCTGGGTGTGATTTAGAGCCTGTCCCAGCCCTGTCCCACTGCCACCTCCTGCACTGGGGCTCACAGTGCCCAACACGTTGCCCCCCTGGCAGGCTGGCACTGTCCCCTGAAGTATCCCCTTCCCCTTTGTCTCCTGCTTTCCCAGCCAGGCTGTGGGGTGATGGCTGTCCCCTATTGTGTGCTGGGGTGGGAATGGTCCTGTTCCTTCTCCCAGCTGGGACCGGCTCGGAAGCTGTCTCTGAAATGCCTTTGTTCACCCCGCGCCGGAGCGGCTCCCCCGGCTCTTTATGGCCCATTGATCCCCTCGTTCCCAGGGCCGGCCGGGCACAATCGGGCTCTGGGGGGGCCTCGCTGCCCCATTTCCTGCCCCAGCCCCATGCAGTGTCGCTCGGGGAGGCTGCTCCAGCACAGCATTGAGTCACTGAGTCCCTGGGAAGGACTCAGCCCTGATGGTGGCAGCTTGGGCATCGATGGCACCTGGCTGGCAGCCCCTGCCATGCTCGCATCCCCTGCCCGTGGCACTTCCAGCTGTTTTCCGTGTGTCTGGGGACTCCCGTCCATCCGCCGGCACTGCTGCAGGTCTGTGGATTCCCGCAGGCGCTGGGACAAGGGTGAAGCTGCTTCCCAGACCCGTTGCCTTTCTCCTAAGCCTTCAGTGCTGTAAACCCACCCTTCCTCCCATTGAATCCCAACAATGTGCCGCTTGGGAAGTGCCGGCGGGACAAGAATAGGAGCGGGCAGCTCTCAGGGCTAGGGCGAGCAGCCACGGCGGCTCACGAAGAGCCAGAGGAAGCTTTGCTGAATAAGCCATTATGGTAAAACCCTGCCCTCTCGAGCCTGCACTCAGCCACTCACGTGCAAATGCACGGTCTGGTGCAGGGGGTTTGTGATCCAGCTGTTCCCAGCATGGCACAGCTGGGTGCTGCTGTGGAAGCCTGCCTGCAGTGAGCCTGTCCCCAGACAAGGAGTCCCATGCCTGGCCAGGAGGCCAGTGTTTGGTGTGAGAGCATCCTCCCAGGCTTGTCCAGCTTCGGGGATGTCCCTGCATCTGAGGCTGGCTGTGACTGCACGGTGCCATGGCTCAAGGGTTGAATCCAGCAGCCACAAGTACTCCTGGTCCCAGCCCAGCCTGTGGTGGCCGTGCCCCAGGCTCACAGTGGGTCAGGGTGACTGCAGTTGCTCTTGGCATGTCCTGAGGGCAGCTCCAGCTTCCCGATGGACCCTCTGTCCTGCCCAGGTCCTGCATTGCTGCTGGAATCCATCATGAGCAGCTCGTTGGAGGAGCAGGTGGTGGTTTCCTCAGGCAGGATGCTGGCAGCGAGCTGTGCCCCAGCTCGCTGCGGGGACTGGGACAGCTGCTGTGCTGGGGGGACAGTGACATCCCCCTGGCCATCCGGCACACCTGTGTGGCTGCTCTGGATGTCCGGTTAGATCAGAGCAGGGATGCTCCAGCTGTGCAGGGCTGAGGATGAGGTGACC